AATAGTTGCCCTCACGCTGAATTTCTCAATGCACCCTGCTTCTCATTGAGGCATTAAAAGACTGAAGCAAGACAGTGTTTAAATCGCAGTTTGGCTGTAGTTACAAAAGATTGTATATATTTTACTCATGTTTATAGATCAGTTTCATGTTCTTAATCAGTAGCTGGTTTTCCTTCCGTGAGTAGTTGTGCACCTGAAGTTTGAACTATTAAATTCAGGGCAAGGAAAGAAAGCCACTTTGTGTTCCTATTTTAATTAAAAAAAAACTCTTAAGGCAAAAATACTTATGTTCCCACCATGAGTCAATCGATTATCATAATCCAGAGTAACTTTCTGGAAGAAATAATTGAGATGACAGGAATTCCACTGTTGAGGAATTCTGATTTAGCACTGTGTGAGTAAATATTGTATACGGGTTTTTGCAACTGAATGATGCATGAGTAGCTACTGAATCACCACATTTGGTTATGAGCCATTCGAAAAATTAAAAGAGAACAGCCTCCAGCCATTTGTTAATATTTTTTTCCAAGACAAGTTAATAATAATCAAGATAAGTCTTTGAAATAGGAAAATACCTTTTTAAAATTAATTCCACATTCCCATGTCATTCTGCTGTACATATGCTGATTCACTGGAAGTTTATGAGTAAAGTAGCAGCAAATTACAATAGCTGTCTTTTTTATTATTATTATTCACAGGATTTATAGGCTCCTCCAACTGACTCTGAGTAGACTATTATTTCCTTCTGAACAATATCTGAATGTGCTAATCTTTCATACAATACAGATCAAGAGGTGTTTCCATAGTGCAAATCTACTCAAAAATAAACCATTCTGTGTTCAGCAGTCATTCCCAATAAAACATACGAAGAATTACAACTTTCAAAGAGCTTCGGATTCTCCAGATCTTGTTTGTTTTAATTAATTGCATGCAAGGTAGTTTGAGACTTATGTATGCAATTTAACTTGTAACTTCTGACAGATTACTGATCTATTTTAATGGGACTTTTATTTTATATCTGACTGTCTTTCACTTCATGGGAATCTCTCAAAGATCAGGATATGATAAATGCAAATGAAGAGCAATTGCCTTTGAGTTCTTAATAAGCGATTCTTGGTTATAAATTCTTGGCTTGAATGAAAAATGAGGGGGAAATTGATATAAAATATGAATGACAATATAACATTGTAATAAGGCAATTGTAAAGTGGAATTACTCTGTCAATGCTTTTAAGCACTTCCCTAACATTTCAATTAATTACACATTGTGTTCCTACATGGCATGTTTTGCCAGACTAAGTTATAGGGAATCCAATTATTTTTTAGAGAATGGAACTAGTGATTCCCAAAAGACGGGAATCAGGCAGAGGGCAGTTGGAAATTTTTTAGCCAAATTTTACACTAATTGTCTCAAACATAAGTGACCCTGAATTTGGTGAAACTTACATCTTTTTAATACATGAGATTGAAATCTAGCAGTATTTTACTAACAACACTTCCTTATCAGATGGGAGTGGATAGATTTAAATTAAAGCCCAAAAGAGATACGCCTTCCAAAAGAATCCCTATCCAATAACTTTCTGCTTTCATTTTAAACACTATTTGTCATGAAAATGTTTTGCCACTCATGCTATGATCAATGTGGTTTATTGAGATCTGCTTTAATGATAACACACTTAATCTACACCCAGGGTGTTTTATGAAGGAACCACACCCAATTTCTAATTCTTGGCTTTTTTTTTTGCTTTTTTTTACAGGAATTTAATGATTTTGGTTTTTAGCACAAGTAGCAGCATCAAAGTAAGATGCCCAAGAATGAAATCTGAAAATGTCATAACTTTCTTTTAAATGTTATGTTTAAAAGCGACATACATACCATTACATTTCAGTGCAATCTTTTATTTAAGAGGCAGGAGAACACCTGTTCTATTAAAATGGGATTAAAAAAAATACTAATTTTAATGATCGAAATTTCACTGCCAGTTCTGCCCTTGATTTTACAGGAATAGAACAGGTGAGTGTAAGACTTTAGATATTTAAAGTAAACAGGGCTTATTTCAAAATGTTACAGTCACTGTGCCAATGTGTTGCACTTGATTGGCTAAATAAATTACATAACTTTTCCCCATCCTAAAATATTTATTACACAACAGCTCTATTTGCTACTTGGTAAAATTTATACAATTATTAAGGGGATTCTGTATGAAAACCTTTTGAGTATGCCACAGTCAATGTTAAATTATTTCTAAACACAAGTTTAGTAGGCTAACAATTGAAAAATTTCTCCTTTGATCAAATTGGGACTAGTATGATTTTCAGTTCAATTAAAATTGATACACTTTTTTTGAACAGATTCTCATTTCTGGCCACATTGTCCCAAAGGAAAGGGAAAATGGATTAAAATATTTTCTGATTCGCTGATTACATGCTCACTGATTTTCAGGGATATTTCCCAATGAAATATATTAGGGAAGCGTGGAAAGTTTGGCCTGAGTGGCTTCATGTTAAAAGAAATATATTTGCCCAGAAGATTTAAGCAAACTGGGTCTTGCAATTTAGTAGTATAAAGTATTAGTGGGTTTACTTCACATTTAAATCATAGGCATGTCAACTGATCAATCTTTACACCCAGTGCTTGCAAGACCTGTGAACTTCGTAACTAATCAGTTTCTATTTCAGTTAATCTTATTTCCTAACAAGGAAATTGCAATCATTTTGGAATTGGATTACATCCTAGAAGACAATGGGACACTTTATTTATTATACAGAAATCCCACGGGTCTTTCAAAGCAACACAGTGTTTCTTTATTTTAACCTGACATTAACTCTGCAAACTAAATTAAGCTGGGCAAAAGGTTGAATTCACACATTATGTTAAGACATAGGATGGTTTCCTTGATCTAGGCTTGGAGGAATGTGTGAACCCACTCCTTGTGATTTATAAATCTCAGTTTATGTCTTAAGCCCAACAATTTGGGGTTGATTTAGCAGAGTGGCTTGGTGGCATACCTGAACTCAAGTTTTATTGATTTGTCATTCTAATAAGCTTCAAAGTTGAAAAAAAGCATTTCGGTGTGGCTCAACCTGAACAAAATCCAGCCACAAGGCAATATTAATATGAGGGGAAGTAATGGAATTGGCGCATCAACTTTTGAAGAAAGATAAGCAACTCTTTGCAAACAGCTACAGGAGAACCATGCTAGAGATCCTCCTTCTGAATCACACATAGAGAGATCTAGTTTTTGCTTAGGATTGGAAAAGGGGAGATTTAATGAAAGAAGGTCACTCTGCAAGGACTAGACTAAGCCAAAGCGCTAACTTATTCCTGCCTCTTCCCCGTCCAATCCAAAGCTGTCTCACCATTTTCGCCAAAATCCGTAACTGTTAAAAAAAATAAATACTGGGAAAGCTGACATTTTTTTTTATTTTATGGTAAGGAAATGAAAACAAAACAAGAAGCTTTTTCAGTTCTGAAGTGAAGAAGTGAAGACGCTTCTTGGATCAGAAGCGAAGCGTCTCCAAGCAAAAACAAAGCTGCTCCAGTTGCCTTTTATAAAAGCACCTTTGAGACAACCATGATCTGGATGACTGAGACTCTCCATATAGACAAAACAATTCTCCCTATTTTAGCCCCAAGCTCACAACACCCACGAATTACAACCAATCGTATTTGCTGTTTTGTGTATAATCACAGAGCAGGGTGACTTAATCTTGGACTCTTGGGTAGCCCCCCGCTCGTCATAGGAACTCAACTTTGGAAGACAAATGCTTGTAGTAAGTAACTGCAATGTATTGTAAGCAACTGCATCTGAAGATCTGAGCTCCTAAGAGCACTTGGAAGTATTTGTCCAATTCACCACCCTTCTCTAACCCCCCCCCCCAAACCTGGGTATTATTTCTGGGTCCTTTTTGGATCCAGAGGACAGTTGCTTGCCTGTCAAAAAGGAAAGACAGATGAAGAGAGGATAGCCATCTACTGTGTCGGTATAAGCACCGACAATTGCCACTTTGTGCCTTTGAAGTCATAGGAGATATAACAGGGTAAGTGACAATTGGGAAACATTTGCTTGCCAGGCATTTGAGAAACAGCATTATTGGGAATTATGTCCTTGATTGATCTGCCCTAGTTAGAGGTTGATTTCTAAAGTTCCTTCTTACACTTGGATCTTAGTTTCGGGACTGGGATGGGGGTGGAGAGCAACTGAAACTTTCTCTGAAACCAATAATCTCCCCAGTTGCTGATCCCGAATCCTTGGCACAATCTTAAATCCCACTTTGAGAAAGATTACCCTTAATGTGGTGTGTGTGTGTGTGAAACTCTCTTTTGCCCCTGGGTAAAATTCAAAGCAGGATGCCTGCAACCCACTGAATATGAGTTTCAGGTAAGACCACAAACGTTGAGGTTCAACAACAACAGTTGCCCTGAAAACTTATTTGCAAGGGAAGAGATTTGCGGCTTCTTTGGCAAACATTTTACAGAGAGAGAGAGAAAAGAACAAAAGTAAGTAAGTAAGTAAGTAAGTAAGTAAGTAAGTAAGTAAGTAAGTAAGGAAGGAAGGAAGGAAGGAAGGAAGGAAGGAAGGAAGGAAGGAAGGAAGGAAGGAAGGAAGGAAGGGGAAAAAAGAAAGGAGAAAGGAAAGGAAGGAGAAACGAGAAAGGAATTGAAGGAAGGAAAAGGAAGGAGAAAGGAATTGAAGGAAGGAAAAGAAGGAAAGGAAGGAGAAAGGAATCAAAGGAAGGAAGGAAAAGGAAGGAGAAAGGAAAGAAAACGGAGAAAGGAACCGAAGGAAGGAAGGAGAAAGGAAGGAAGGAAGGAAGGAAGGAAGAAGAAAGGAGAAGAGAAGTCTACATCCATCGTTAAGCTTTCTTTGCCTGGACCCCGAGGCAGGATCCAAGCCCCGCAGCCGGTCTGTCTCCCCCAAAACGTTGTCCTTCTCGAGAGGGGAAAGCGAGGCTTCCCTTCCCCTCCCCTCCCTTCCCCTCCCCTCCCGGGCCTCTTACCGGTGCAGGAGTGCAAAGCTTTGGGTCTCACGACCAGCGAGGGGCAGACGGAGTAGAGCGAGAGCTTCTCGAAGTAATCGCAGGTCTCCTTGGAGAGGATCTCGTCGATCATGAAGGTCTTGTAGCGCCGCCTGGCTGCTTTCAGCTGCTGCCCGGGAGACGGCAGCCGGAGCCCACCTTGGCAGTGCATGGCGGGGGGAAAGCTCGGGGGGGAAGGGGGGCACCGCGGAGCCCCGGGAGGGGAGCGAAGGAGAAGGAAACCGCAGGGAAAGTCGGCGCTGGGCTGGCGGGCGGCCCCCGAGATCCAGTGACTCTGCCTGCCTGCCTGCCTTCCTTGGCTGCCTTCCTTGGCTGCCGTCCTTGACTGACTGACTGCCTTCCTTTCTTCCTTCTTTCTTTGCCTGCCTGCCTTGCCTGCCCGCCGCGCTCTCCTCCTGCCTTCCCCACCTCCAGCCTCTATATAAGCCTCGGAGAGAGCCGCGCACCCGGCCCTGCTCAGAACACCCCAGCTGTCAATCAAGCGCGCCTATCTTCCGCAGCGACCCCATTGTTCGACCGCGGGCTGCGCGGGACAGCGAGTCATCGCTCTATTTTAAGAAGCCGAGGTGTGGATTGGCTTCGCTTCCCTCCTCCAGCTGGAAGAAGGCCCAGGGGTTGGGGTTAGGCTTGGCTGCGCTGATGTGTGTGTGTGTGTGTGTGTGTTGGGTGTAAGAGAGGATTCACTTCCCCGCCTCTTCTTCCATCCTCCCTCCCGCTTTTGCAACAGACGTTGGAAGAAACAGAAACGAACCCGTCAGACTCCTTTGGAGACTTAAAGTTGTCCCGCGGGAAGTCCTGGGAGGACTTCGGCGCTTGGTTCCAAAAAGGAGCAGAATCCGAATTAAGCTAAGCCACAAATAGGCAGCCCGCTCTGCCTTCTGGTGGTACACCCCCTGCTTCCCCAAGGGAAAAGCAGAGGGACCCTAACCCTCAGGTGAAGCTCAACGCGGGGTCCTGCCCTAACCGAGGTAAATCCAGGGCGCCCTGGATTAACAGGTGCCCTGATTGTGGTCCGGTCCCGTTTCAGGGCTTTTGGGGTGGGCCGGTTAATATTCGCTTCCCAGCAAACGCGCGCAGGTCAGCATTATAAACTAAAAGACGGGAGATTTGTAGGAATAGCTGGGAAAGGCGTTCTGACGAGGGCCTTCAGGCCGAGTCCGCTAAAAGAAGATAACCTTGGCCGGAGCATGAAATGGTCTCTGAATATATGAAAGTTGTGTTTGTAATGGAAACATCCCATTCTTTGTTCTGAAGGATATCCTACCGGATAAGTACAGTACTTTGTAGCATTGTACAAACACAGACACACAGACACACACACAGAGAGAGTGTGAGAGAGACCGAGACTGTGATTCTAAAAGACTCCTATAAGCCACAATGCGCTCTCGGGGTAATAGGCTTCGGTGTGAAATAATCTCAAGGGAGGCCAACAAGGCTGAGGATGCGCCCAGGCGCAACTCCACATCTGTCTGTTAAGTCTTACTGAGCTTGGACGGGCCGACCCCGTCGACTTGGACGCCTAAATGAAACGAGAAAGTTTTTCCCACCCACTGACTGCTCCAACGATCCAACTCTTTGCCGATTCAGGATACTGAATGTGGACCCCCATCGGCCGCGATCAAAAGAGGCTCAAGTTCAGAAAATTTGCCACACCAGCCTGAATTTTATTTGGCTTCATAAGAAACTGGAGAGCCATAAAGAATACACTCATGCATTTCTTTCTTTCTTTCTTTCTTTCTTTCTTTCTTTCTTTCTTTCTTTCTTTCTTTCTTTCTTTCTTTCTTTCTTTCTTTCTNTCTGTCTGTCTGTCTGTCTGTCTGTCTGTCTGTCTGTCTGTCTATCTATCTATCTATCTATCTATCTATCTATCTATCTATCTATCTATCTATCTATCTATCTATCTATCTATCTATCAATCATCTGCTGGTTTTATTGGTTTTAGTATACATTTTCAGCGCTCTTCTCCTGGATTTCCCATATTCAGGCGGGAGCTGCGAGGTGAAAAACCGGCCTGAAAAGCGACCCATCCACGCTCCCGCGCAGACAGCTTCCGTCCTTTGGGGGAAAGGGCCCCTGTAAGCCGATTCAGCCAATATCAAACTGTCTTCTCCCCTTCTGGAGCTGCAGGCAGGTGAAGCCAAATCGTAACAGGCTTCAGTGTTCGTTCCTTTCCTCGGCTCTCGGCTGGTTGCCCGGAACGAGCTTTTTGACGGTGCGCCTCCGGGAGCGCGCCTCTCTTCCCTGCTGCAGGGGCTTCGGATCCGGGACTTTTGCAAATGTCCCCAAAATCCAGGGAGGGGGGGACGATGTTTAGGGGCGCAGCTCCCTCACGTAGCACCCCAAGACCAGGAACCATCTCCCCCTCCCCTATATGTGACCTGCAAGGTAACAGGCCGGTAATCGCGAACCTGGGAGGGAAAGCTAATCCCTCTTCCAGTTATTCCCGGGCTTTTTTTCCGCGGTCAGGCTTGGATGGAAAAGGCTGGCGAGTGCACCCACGGGGTCCCCCCCCCCCATCAACTGCGGTCGCGGGCAATTCTAGCCCACGAAACCTTTTCAAGAAGAGCACCCTGGAGTTTTTAAGGGACGGGGCGACGTCGACCTTTCTTCCTCCTCCTCCTCTCTCTCCTCCACCTCCTCCGGGTAGAAGCTCGCGAATTTCCCCGCATCCCACCACCACCTTCCTAACCACGCGTGGGAAGAAACCGCCCCCCCCGCGCGGAGAAAAGCCTAAATCCCAGATCTCTCGCGCCCCGGGTCTCTCTCCTCTCTCTCCCTCCCTCTCCCATTCCACGCCTTGCAACTATCTAATTCTAGCTGCAGTTATTTTCCCCAACCGTTTTGCCCCAGAAGACGGAGCTTTTTCAGCCGCTCTCATCTCGAATGGTGGGGTTTTTTTTTTTTTTCCCCCTTCCCCCCTCCCCCCTTCTTCCGCGCTCATTCAGAAACTCGCTCCCGCTTCTTTGATCCTTAACTCTGGTTCTCCTGCTTAGCAGCCCCCGGGCTCGGCCGCTCTTCCTTCCTGTTGCATTTTTTCCTATCGAAAACTTTTTAAAACCCCTCGCCGTCAGAAAACCGGCCTTCTCCTCCCCCAGGACGAAAAGCCAAGCAAACGAGAGAAAAAAAAACCACGTCGTTTTAAATGTCCCTTCCCCCCCCGCCCCAAGAGTGGACAGATGGCTGGGTGAATAGTATTTTTATTCCGCGTGGATAAAAAATAAAAGTAAGCTTTCCTATCTTACAGCATGTCCATATCTACCGGTATCTATCTCTACCTGCATATATCTATAATTCATTTTATTTCCTCCCCCCCCCCCGTGATAAAGCAACCGAACTCCCCTTCCTCCTTCGGTAACCCACATTTAGGGAGCAGCTACGTATCATTCGCGGGGGAGTCGCTACCATAGACCTGACTTTGCACTTGGGCGAAGGGCAAGGAAGACGCGCTCCTCCCCCCTCTCGTTTTCTTAGTTTCCTGCCGAACCGGAGGGATATCTGCCTGTCCGTTTCTTATGTTACTGCTTATGTAATTCTGCTCCTCCCAGGATTTGTTTAGTTAGCTTGAAATCCTGGCGTGAAGGAATTGAGTTTATAAACTTTCCTACAATTAAATCAGAAGGCGAGAGATACAAAATGGAAACGATAACTTTGGGATCCAAACAGACAGACTGATAATTTTGGGACATCTGTCCCACCACACGCCTGATATCGCTATCGTGGGAAAGGGGGGGGAAAAAAGTCTGGTTCATTGATATGATGCAGGAGTGGAAGAGAAACAGCTAGAAAAAAATAATAATAACGAAATATCGCGATTTGCCAATTCAAGTTGAGCGATTGTTGAGGAAGAAATCGATGGTTGATTGATCAACGGAGCAATACCCAAAGGGCTGCCTGGATACATGGAAATTTTGAATTTATTAGACCTGAAGATTATGACATTGCAAAAAAACAACAACACACCATCTCACTTGGAACTGCCTATATACTTAGACGCTTCCTTAACAGCGCTTAGGTCCTTGGTTAGGACTTGAACTTTTAAGTTTTTACTAGTCCCAGATTGTGAACCAAACTGTAGATTAAATCAGCAACAGCAACAGCAGCAACAGCAGCAGCAGCAGCAGCAACAACAACAACAACAACAACAACAACAACAACAACAACAACAACAACAACAACAATAATAATAATAATAATAATAATAATAATAATAATAATAATAATAATAATAATAATAATAATAAAGCATAGCCATTTAAGGCAGTTAGGAATAACGGTCTGAAATCAATTTTAAAAAATTGGGAAGAAGCGCCAGAGAGGGACAGCCCACCGGATGGACCCTGTTTCTCCCAAGGGTTTTGTGCATTTGTGTGTGTGCTCGACCCCCCCCCCCCGTTGTATATCAGAAAGAGAGGGAAAGACTCCAACCTTCGAGACACAATATTCACCCGGCTGCACAAACCCAAAGCCACACAGCAGAGACCGAGCGGCCCCTGTGTGGTGTATTTGTGTCCGCTTTGTGCGGGTGTGCAATTCAGCAAAGGCGGTGCAAGTGACCCAACACCGCCAAGAAAAGCCACGGCACGCACGTAGGGGAAAAAGGAATTGCAAAAGTCTTCGAGAATAACTCCCATTGACCTCGATGGGATTTATTCCTGGGAAAGCTTGAAGCGCGCGCGTTCCTTGCTTCAGAAGCAGCCGCTGGGGATTCCCCCTGCCCCCCCTTTAAAGATTCGCTTTAAAAGAACACCTGCTTTAAAACTTGCAGCCAACGGTAACAAAGCGGGATTCATAATGTGCGTGTAAACATTCCAGTTCCTCTTCTAACCGCAGATTCATTGAAACCAGTGCCATTAAACGAAGGATAGAGTGCCATCCTAAAGCCGCAGTAGATGCTTGAGATAAATGGATAAGATCCTATGTAGGTTAAGGAACGAACGCCGGGCTATAACGAGTTTTTCCTCCTGTCAGTCCCTATTGTTATGATTTGTCTCAAGTCAACCACCACGAATTTTCCCAATGAAAGGGAGCACCAGAAAAAAAAATATTATTTTGCGCCTTGTTTCCCCTCTCCCCGATTCAAACGAAACGAAATAAAATAGGCAGGACTCTCTCCCCGGAGGACAGCGAATCCTGGCTGGCAGGATTTTTTGC